AACTTCCAGGTGTGGGGGAAAAACACACTTGGTGGCCACAAGAACTGAGCCTGCCGAGTAGGGAGAAACAACAGTTTTTCCTTTCAGTACTTAAGATCAACATTCTGACATAAAATCTTCTATCTTCAGTTCCTGGCTAAAAATTTGCTTACATAAAATACTGAATTTATTCTGTAAAATAAAGACTAACCTGCCAAATGTACCCCATAGATAAATGTAACGATCAAATGAGAAAACAGATGCAGCCAAGTATAAGACTTATAGAGTGGTGTCATAACACTCAAATTATTACTTTATTACTAAGTGACAGAGAGTAAAATAAAAAATAAAAGTAACTTTAATAATGTCTTTAAAACAAGTAGGCATCAGTCAAAAAGCAATTTAAGGAGAAAATCCCATTTCTGCCAAAAATAGAACCAAGGACTAAGGAGAGAGAGAGAGACAGACAGTAGGCTTAATACCAGCTGGAGGCAACAAGATAAAAGGAAAACGCACACCCGAACTCCTCATATTATAAGATAGGATGAAAGAACTGTAGAAATAAGTGAAGTAAAAACAGGAAACAAAAGAAGGTGGGGCTTCCCATTTTGAATAAATATGAAAAATCAGGCTGCTTACTACTCGAGAGTTTCCTGGATGTTGAGGTATGCCTGTGGTTTCTTCCTCTGGTGTGTCACTCACCTTGCCTTGCGGCGGGGCCGGGGAGGGGGGCAGGGAGTCCACACTCTGGGTGGTGTTTCTAAACCTGACTGGGACTGAAACTGCTAGGCCACTGACTGCTGAAGATTCCTCTCCCCAGCTCCCTAGCTAGGGGTAGAAAGCAGAAGTTCAATGAAATGGAGACCTCAGTTGGAGAGAAGTCATGGTGCAGTGGTCAAGAATTCGCTTGACAAGGCTGGAGACCCCGGGTCAGGAAGATCCCCTTAAGTAGGAATTGGCAACCTGCTCCAGTATTCTTGCCGGGAAAATTGCATGGACAGAGGAGCCTGGGCGGGTACAGCCCAGGCGGTTGCAAAGAGGCGGACACAACTGAGCATACCCTCTCACCTCCTCATGACCAGGTGCAGTGAGCATAAGCTCTGCAGTCAGTCGGAATCTGGACTCAGCTAATTACCAGTCTGGAATCATTGTGTTACCCAAGCATTCCCAAATGGTCTCTGAATTGGTGTCAGTCTGGAACACATTTTCACTGACCTATAACCAAATGAGAAAAACTGGGACGATATAGTTTTTCACAACACTAAATTTATTGTCTGTTTTCATGTTGTAATTATCATCTTCCTCCTTTTTCCGTGGTTTAAAAAAAAAAAAAAACAACTTTCTTTTTAAAGGATGGGGATGGTAGATTGCAGTAGTTCTAAAAAAGGTCCATAACGTCGACGGAATTAAAAGTTCGGGATCTTACATCTGATCTGAATTGCCCACCTACAAACACACTTTTTTTTTTTTAAACTTGCTGATGAAGTCCAAAAGTCTGGGAACCCCTAACTTGAAGGTCTCACTTTTCTCATCAACAAAACAGGGAAGAAAAGGGAACCTGTTAAACAGCTGTGTGCGGTTATGATGATATTTAAATACAGTATCAAGTCCTCGAGGCTTCCCAGGTGGCTCAGGCTGTAAAGGATCCGCCTGCAGTGCAGGAGACCCAGGTTCGATCCCTGGGTCAGGAAGATCCCCTGGAGAAGGGAATGGCAACCCACTCCAGTATTCTTGCCTGGAGAATTCCATGGACAGAGGAGCCTGGGGGGCTACAGTCCGTGGGGTCGCAAAGAGTCAGCCACGACTGAGCGACTAAACAGCAGCAGTAGTACCAACCCCTTAGAGCTTTATCATCATCATAAAGAGCTTGACCACTACACTTGGTTCATTCAATAAGATCCACATCCAGGCAATCTGGCAGAGTGGTCGAAAGTAAGCTCGACAATCAAACCACAGGACTGAAATTCTAGCTTTGCCCTGAGACACTACTGGCTCCAGGATCCTGACTAGGTCAGTTAAGTCTCAGTCTCCTCGAGCTGCAGTTATCTCATCAGTCAAACAGGGATGATAAACAACAGCACCTACTAAATAGAGCCATTTTAAGATTAAAATTATATAATCCATGTAAGATGCTTATCACAGTGCCCTCTAAGTGCTCTATGTTATTTATTTACATATTATTGTTACTAGTAGTAATAAACTAAGGAGGTCAAAAGGTGCCTTCTAAAAGGCTGTTTCTGAATCATCTTCCAAAGTGAAATCCATTTTAAGAGGCTACAAAGTTTGTATATTAATGATAGTTCAATAAAAATTTGTCTAAAAAAAGAACCCCTGTATAACTTTAAAAACATGAGGCTATGAGAATAATCATGGCTAACATTTATTTAAACAATTTCAAATGAAATCATTAGGTCAAGAATGAGAATTTGGATGGTATACAGATCCAGGCAAATATCAAATGTTACCCTAAACAACATCTACATAATCAATGTATTTTTCATAACTTTAAAAATTTGTATATATTGATCAGAACAGGTGTAACAGGCAGGTATAATAATCAAAATGGTTACTTTCAAATAGTTAGCTTTTAATAAAATGATTACCATTTCATTAAATCAAATGTGGAGTAACTTTGATATTTAGTATAAATTATCTCCAATATTGATCCTTAGTAAACGCCTACACATTTTAGTGTTATTTTTTAAAATATGGTTGTTGAGTTGGCCTGAAATTCACCAAAACAGATTATAATTTTAGTTTGATATAAAATGTAATACAGTTTAAAATAGCTTATTTTTTATACGAAATTAAATACAATTTATGCACAAACAGCTTCACAGTAAGAGTTAATTTACAAAAGATATTTTCAAGTGGTAAATGGGTATTTCCTTTATGAATTTTAAAGTGTTTTCATAACAAATATATTGAAAGACACAAGCATTATACATAAACACCGTGTAAGAGTGAAACCTATAAGCAGTTCTTTTTTAGAAGTAACTATTGAGCAAGAATAACTACTGGGTGGCTCAGGTGGTAGAGAATACACCAGCAGTGTAGGAGACCTGTGTTCAATCCCTGGGTTGGGAAGATCCCCTGGAGAAGGAAATGGCAACCCACTCCAGTATTCTTGCTTGGGAAATCCCAAGGACCAAGGAGCCTGGCAGGCTACAGTCCACAGGGTCGCAAGAGTCAGACATGACTTATCAACTAAACCACTACCATTGAGGAAGAAGTTTTAATTCTCAAGAGAATGTAAAACTTCTACAAAAGCATAGCCCAGCATTTTCTCCAACATATGGTAAAGATATATCAGCATTTCTTCCCTCTATGCTTAACTTTCAAGTCTTTATTGCTACCATAAAAGAATCAGATACAGGTTACAAAGCAGTGCTCAAAGTTGACTATTTAAAGGTCCACTACTAGAAGAAAATTGCTACTTTTTTCCCTTTATTTCTGCAACCATGTAATATAACATGTAACTTAACTAGTTATAGTAGTTACACAATATATATTTACCTAGCATTTGTGTGTGTATATATGGGGAGGGGTAAATAAACGACTGTTTCTTCTTTAACATCCAGAAAGCTTGGCAACTAAAGATCAAAACTTAGGAGCACAACACTGCAATTAGCTTTACAACATGAACAATGTTTAAGGAGCATACAAGGTGAAGAGGAGGCTGAAGCTATTAAGTTAGACTGCCTGAGTTTGAATCCAGGCTTTGCCACTTAAACCTGAGATCTTGGGCAAGTTACTTAACCTTCCTAATCTTCCTTTGTAAAGCATGCATGCTCAGTCGCGTCGGACTCTTTGTGACCCCACAGACAGGAGTCCACCAGGCTCCTCTGTCCATGGGATTCTCCAAGAAGGAATACTGGAGTGGGTTGCCATCTCCTCCTCCAGGGAATCTTCCGGAGCCAGAAATGGCACCTGTGTCTCCTGCGGTCGTGCATCGGCAGGTAGCTTCTTTACCACTGAGCCACCAGCTTCCCTTCCTTTCTAAACCGGAGATAATAAAGAATAACGACCTCAGGGCATTATTTTGAGATAATTCTTGCAGGAAACAGCGCTCCGGCCTCTAAGTAACAATTAATACTTGCTTCCATTGTTATCGATTGCAACACTGAAACAAATTACAGTGCTATCAACTGTTTTGTTTTGAAGTGATTGCCATAAACATTAAGAAGATAAACAGATATGAGAGAACGTGCTCTGTAAGGAAACACTTCTGTTGAGATTCGTTATTTGGATTAAGTTTCTTCTCACCAAATGGCAAAGGAAATTTTCTAGAATTATCTTCGGAACCAAGAAAGTCAAATCCAGGACCTTGTGTAAATTCACACAAGCAGAAATGGATATCACCTGCGTCAAAGAGACACCTGCCAGTCCTAGTCCACAGATGTCATTTCACATGGTTAGAATCGTTCCGATCTTAGAACTTTCTAGCCTGCGACAAACTTCCTTTAAAGCGAGGAAACGATCCAAACACACACACACACACACACAGTGTCTAACTCCTGCCATTAATCCATCCCTGCAGAAAATGAAAACTATTTGACAAAGGGATACACAGCCACAAAATCGGTCTTTAAAGGGAGCGGGAATAAAGGGTAGAAGAGATGCTCTCGCTACGGAGGCCACCGGGCCTTTCTCCGGGTCGGGAAGGGGGGCGCCCTGGGACCAGCGAATCTCGCTCGGTTAAGTCGCGTTCCTAAACCGTGCACAAGGGAAGAGGTGTCCACGGTCAGAGAGGGTGTCGCCGCTCCCCGACCGTTCCCCGAGCTCTCAGCCCGGGATCGGCGAGCTCCTTTCCCTCCACCCCGCCCTCCCATCCGCCCAGCGGGTCCTCGCGGGCCGAACGCGCGGCTCCGCCCGCCGGGGTGAGGAGGCCGGCGCCCGCTCGCATCCCGGAACTCCCGGCCCCGGGGGCCCCGGCCGCGCGCCGCCCTTACCCGGCTTCTGGCCCCGCGACAGGTGGTGCTGCCGGCGGAGAGGCCGCGGCCCCGCAGGCCACCCGGACGATGCTCAGCTCCGGCCGAGGACGGCCCTCCCCTTCCCGAGGCTTCCCGGAGGGAGCCGGCGCCAGCTCAGGCTCCGACCGGCCAGCTCTGCAGGACTCGAGCCGAGGCAGCCAGTACACCCGCGCAGTGAGGCGACGGACCGGGGAGGACCGCCGCCGCGGCCCCATGAAGGGGGTGAGACTGACGGGCGCGCGGGCCAATGCGGAGGCAGTAAGCCAGCCTTAAGGGGCGGGGCTTCGCCGCTGGCGCGCCAGCGTCCCAGCCGCCAAGGACCTTCCTCTGCCCCGTAGCCTGAGGTAACTGTATGGGGGCCTGGCCGGTGCCTTTATGGGCCCGATCCCCAGGAGTGAGCCCGTAGGCGTGTAGGCTGGGAGAAGTCCGGACACGCAGAGGACAGCTGCCACCCCACGGAAACAGCTGGGGCTGGCTAACTGCAGGCTTCCCATCTCGGCGGCGGGCGCTGGGGTCGGTTGGGGAGATGGCCGCGCGTTTGCGCGAGAAGAGGCTCTACGCAGGCGCGGGCGAGGCCGGGGATGGGGCGGGGTGGGACCTGTCGCCGGGTACCAGGACCCGAACCCGGGGAGCGACGAAGCCTGGGCGTGTGGGCCGCTCCTGGACTGCCTGTGGAGGCAGGGAGAGGAAAGCAGAGATTCGAACTGCAGGATGCCAGCCAGGAGAATGGAGACGAGGAAGAGAGCGGGCCTGGGAAATGTGAAGCCTCTGCCCTTGAGGAACAACTTTATGTATTTGAGCAATTTTTGTCTGCCTTCGAGTTGCCCTTCTGCCAAATTCTTTGCCGCTCTCCATGTTTACTGACACAACTCTTTTTTTGTAAATTAATGTGTTTCTTTTAATTGGAGGCTAATTACTTTACAATATTGTAGTGGTTTTTGCCATACATTCACATGAATCAGCCATGGGCTGACACAACTTTTGACCCGCAGGGAATTTACTGTCATCACAGTCCCCATAAGTAGATATTCGAATATTCTCTCTCAGAAAAAAAGCACTGGCACCGTAAATGGTTATGGTGAAAGCAGTGCGACCCTACCTTAATATATGTATAATTCACCCATGGTTATGATACTGGAGGATAGTTCTTCATCCTTACTTCAGAAAATGTGGTCACCAAAAATGCTTTACTGTAATCGAGTTTGCGTGCTTTTAAAGTGTAGTAATAAAAATTTTAAAGATGTAAAGCGTGAAGAAGAGGCAAGGCAGATGGAATGAGAACATGAAGTGATGGAAATGTAGGATAGAGAAGATTGAGCAGCAGTAGAGAAAAGTGGATTCTTGCCTCCTAAACTGACGATTCTCCAGACAAGGATATTGGAGTGGGTTGCCAGTTCCTAGTAGTTAGAGGATAAATGGTAACTATGGCTGCTATAATAACCCCTGCTGGAACAGAGAGACTAGAAATAAACATGGGACTTCCCTGGTGGTGCAGTGGGTAAGAACCCACCTGCCAATGCAGGGGACACGGGTTCTGTCCCCGCTCTGGGAAGATTTCACATGCCTTGGAGCAACTAAGCCCGTGTGCCACATTTACTGAGCTGGTTCTCTAGAGCCGGCGAACCGCAACTACAGGGCCTGCCTGCTGCAACTACTAAAGCCCTTGTGTTCAGGGCCTGTGTTCCACAAGAGGAGCTACCACAGTGAGAAGCCTGTGCACTGCAACAGAGAGCTCCCGCTCTGCAAGTAGAGAAAGCCTGCCCACAGTAAGGAAGACCCAGCACAGCCAAAAATAAATAAATAGAAGTATTTTTAAAATAAGCATGACCTCAAATAACCCTGTTTGCAAGAAACTGTCAAGATGCCTCAAGCTGAATACAGAAAATTTTAAAATTATGTCATTATAAATTATGTCATTATAAATGCTTCATTAGTAGAGGTAAAATTATTTTGTCTTTGAAAGGTAGTCCGTCCTACAGTAGAATCATCCCAGATTGAAGGGTTGCAGAGAGCTTATCATAGATGGGATTTCTTTTGGTTAAACTGAGATCAACTCATTCCTTAGTAAATGAAATACCTGTTAATGTCAAAGAGGCAAACAGTGCTGTTTTTCTGGCCCACCCCAATTCACTTCTTCTCCTTAGTCACTTTGGGGAATGGTTTGAAGCTTCCTCTCAGTATAGTGATACATGGCTATTGAGCGTTTGAAATATGGCAACTCTAAGTTAAGATACACAATGAGTTCCAGAACAGTACCGAAAAACGGTGAAATATCTCAATTTAAAAAATATTGATCACATGTCAAAATAATATCTTGGATATTTTGGGTTAAGTGAAATAAATTAATTTCATCTCCTTCTTTTCACTTCTGTAACATGGCTATCATAAAATTTAAAATTACATGTACAACTCCAGTTTTTTACATTGTATTTCAGTTGGACAGTGCTGGTCTAAGAGGACCCTGTTGGAGTCACATATATGGATGCTGTTGGACGGAACTTTGAAAAAGGCTTTTTTAAAAGAAGGAAAGGGTTTTTAAGAAAGACTCAATTGTACCTTTTGTTTCACATCCCACTTCTTACCAGAAATGTTTGAAGTCCTGGCACCCATTATCAGCCCATAGGATGAAAAGGAAGAAGATGAAGGCCTATAAGTGTATTGGCAGGATCAAAGCACCTGGATCCCCAGTAGTATTACTGAGCCACGTTCCGCCTTGATTCTTATTCCATATTTCTTATTCTGTGAAATAAACCTCTGCTTGTATAAATAACCTCAAATAAGGTTTTCTGTTGTTTGGACAAGCAGTGACATCTTACCAGTTACTGTTAAAATACACAGAAATCTTGTCATATTATTTTAATTTTATACTTGTTTCTTTAGGATAGCTGATAATTCCCATTAGGTCAAATTGAGGATGCCAGATCTAAAGTTGCTATTTTACTACTGTATTAATATTTACTACTGTATTAATATTAAAATTTTATTACTGTATTGATAATGATAATATCACTGCTTTGATTTTGTGTGCCACTAACCTACTATATTAGATACTGGACCTTTAAATTCATTTAAAAATAATTCTATACTTGAAATTTGTTTGTATGCTTAAATTAATTCTGGTGACCGAGGGATGTGGTATGTGATTGCACTTAGCCTTTTAAATTTGAACTGAGACATCTTAGTGTCTCACTTTAACTATTACTGTATCAAAATAGCATCACTTACAGATGAAATAGTTCAATTCAAGCAAGAATGTTGGATAGAGGCTAAAAAGGTAAATTCAAAAGAGCACAGTGTTTTTCAAAGCTTAAGAGGATTGTTGTGTTTAAAGTGTTGGAATGAGTTTCCACATATTTGTTTGCAATCATACAGAAAATTCCCCACTGGTTGCAGAATAACAACTACTGTATTATAGTGTATTACAGAATAACAACATGTTACAGAATAACAACTATGGTATTACAGGAGTTGTATCTTTTGGTGTTCCTTGCTAATAGAAACCATCAGAGAAAGTTTGGAAGTTTAGATTTTATGTCTCTGTTAATGATTGCTCATGTTTTACAATTACATCTGTCTTTTTCCTATGCTTTCATTATCTAGAAGCAGAATATATGTAACGTATCTCCAAGTACCTATGACATGAAAGGAACATGTTAGTTGCTGTATTAACTTTCAGTATGTGTGTGTGTGTGTTGCAAAAGAGGACTTTCTTACTCAAACTTGTTTTATGTTTTCCACTTTCTGAATTTCCTTGAGAGAATGAAAGGACCTCTCTGAAAGTAGAATTCTCTTCAGAAAATGGAGTTAGGAGCTGACAGTCCTTGACTGGAAATACAGCTGAATGAGAAATACAACTCCAAGTGGAATATAGATTATCGGTAGATTAGACGTCCCATTTATGGATCATCTGGGAACGATAGAAGATGGTCGAGATCCTTGTGAACATGTATGTGTGTATAGGAAGGTATATCTGCAAAAGAGTTGAACAAATTCCTCAGTTCTTCAATTTTTTTTTTGTTTCTGGTTTGTTTATTTATAGCAAAAGAAAGAGTACTCTTTCGGAGGTTTGAATACACGATTCTATCTATCAAACTCTTGAAAAATCACTCAACATCTTTCTCCTGTCAGGTGGGCAAAATTAAACTCCCCCTTCCTGTATCAAAGGCCCTTGAAAGGAGGAAATGTGATGAAAAACAAGCAAGGGCTTTGTAAATTTAAAAGGATACAGATACAAGTGAAGCGTTCTCGCTCAGGCTCTCTACCAGTCATGTAGATGATGCTCAATAAATAATTATTCACTGAATGCTTTTTATCTGCTAAGCATGGCTCTGAGTCTCCCTGTGTATATATTAAAACGACTTAATTGTCTTAACACTATGATGTAGGTGTAATTATTGTCCCCATTTTACAAAAGGAGTTACAGGTTGACTTGCCCAAGGGTACCACTAATAAGTGGAAGAGAGAAATAGATTATGCTGTGTACACTCTGAATACTTTTGAGTATTTGTATGTGCCGTTCACTGTCGTGGAAAGACCAGAAAGATCATCTGGAACTAATGGCACCCCCACCCCCAGCCTGGAAAATGGGAAGGCTCTCCCCACTTAAACTATTAAAATCTATTTCATAACTCAAACTCTCATCTCTTCAATGAGTCCTGGTGTGCGTGCATGCATGTTCAGACTCTTCAGTTGTGTCCGACTCTTTGTGACCCAATGGACTATAGTTCGCCAGGCTCCTCTGTTCATGGGATTCTCCAGACAAAAATACTGGGTTGCCATACCCTCTTCCTGGAGATCTTCCCGACCAAGGATCCAACCTGCATCTCCTGCATTGCAGGTGGGGGTTTTTTACGGCTGAGTCACCAGGAAAGCCCAAGCCCTGGTGTAATAGTACGTAAATACACATTGGAATTAACTTCGAGCTTGAAAACAAAACATGCATTGCCTTCACTATACCAATTACAAAAGAATCTTCTGATGTGAGACTTCAGCTCCTGTGTTTCTTAATAGTTCTCATGCCTGCATTTCTTTTTAAAGTACTTTTCATCCAATATAAGCTTCATGAAGTGGGGATTTATAAAAATCATTTCTCCCTGTATTCCTCCTAAGTCTTCACACATGATTAATGTTTGAATAATTTGTGGGCAGGTTTAGACTATTGACGTCTTCTTTGTTCTAATGAAAGAGTTCTCAAAGCGTGGTTCTGGATCGTCATCTCATCATCACCTGGGAACTTGTTAGACATGCAGATAGTCAGG